TATCTTATGCTGTTCATCATGTGAACAGCATACTTGACTGCCCAACTCGTATGAGGATCTTCCACGACGGAATGTCCACTCATCGTATATCATCAAGAGCATGTCATAATCGGGCGTATAGCGCTTTGCGAAAATGGTGGCGTCGAAGGGAGAGAGAGAAACATGCGGATTACCGGCCGTTTCTGCTGCATACACGTCAATCACACTCCACTCCATTACGAAGACTTAAACACGACGCACTCTACTGCGACGACGATGGCGACTACGACGAAAACGACGGCGTGTAATCGGAAAGAATGTCGATCGTTGCTTGTCACTGCCATTAAGTGATGCTTTCCGGAAACGACTCTCTTTATACGCCTAATCGCTCGCGCTTTGGATACGGTGCTTTTATGACCATATAAGGAACTGAGATATAGCTTACGAAAGGTTCAACATCCAAAAAACTATTGGGCATACCTGACGTCCCAGAACACTCCAGCATGTGTCCACCTATACTCACCTAACGACTGAAACTCCATTTTTTCATTCCGCAGGGAAAGGAAAAGTCTTCCTTTTGAATCTGATCAATTACGAAGCAGAAGACATTCCCACTAACTTTCTAATTCGCAAAGGGGAAGAGGAACCTGAAGCTGTCCTCCTCAGAACCTTCAGGAATGGGACTGCTGATTGCACTTGGTCAAGCGAGTCGTCATGAGCTTATTGAGCAGCGAAGCTGAGCGGTATTGAGTCCAAGTCATCGGGTAAATTAGAAACAACACGGATGATCTTTGGATTTTAGAACCCATGCTGCTCAGATGTCCTTTTTCGAATTAAGTCGGAGCCATCATGTCTGATGGCAACCATCCGGATCTTCAGGAGACTGCCAACAGGGATATCTTTACTGAATGCGATCCTTAGAACTTTTACTCCTAATATACTTTCGTAGAAAAATCGATGAGCTGGGTACCTCTTGACAACTCACTATCTGGGACTCATCAAATAAGAACGACCGCTGGGTACCTCTTGACAACTCACTATCTGGGACTCATCAAATAAGAACGACCCTCCTGACGAACCTCCATCGCATGACCGCTCCTGATTGGGAGAACAAAGGCCTTCCCTTGGGAAGCAGAACATAGCGACAGAAACACGCAGCTAATTGGTATCTATCAGACATTGAAGTGTCCTCAACTAGGGAAAAAATCCATGAGTTTTGAGTTTTTACAAAGGTGGGAACCAACCCAAGCGTAATCCAAACATCCCTACGCAACATTCTACGCGAAAGAAGATAACCGATTTCGCGTTTTCTCAGAGAAACGACCTCGTTCAACGTGTCCTCGACGTTTAGAGAACATGGTGATTGAAATTCACACCGTAACTATTGAGGCGGGAATGTGTTTTATCTAACAGGGGCTCCCTGCCGGTTCTAACAATAACAATCGAGGGCATGTTGCGCAATTCAATTGCATCCGTATGCACCAAGGTGACCGTCGAGAAAACGAGTTAATGACTGACTTCAGCCAGCAGTTGGGACCTCTCTCCAAACCGTCGAAGTTGCTTATTCCTTGCTACTTTTAGAACAAACGCAACTCAAACCTTGCCCGCAGATGTGCACGACCTCGTCACGTTTGCGGCCCTGCTAATCCCCATTTATCGCCGTCTTGAACCCATTCAGTATTCATTACCGTTCTGATTGTTTGATGTCGATGTCTCTGTCTGGATGTTACAATATGCGAGACGCTCGTAAATATACATTCAAAATATCGCCACCGAACATCCTTCGACATATGCCGTGACATTGGGATCCCACACGCAAAGTGGGAATACTCCGACGTGACCCCAGCACGCCATTTTATTATCATGACCACCTATAAAACCGGACAATCTCGATACCGTATCGGTTATTCTTGAATGGATATATACGGGCAGATTTCCATCATATCCAAATGGTTATAAGACCACTGAGGTAAGTACAGAGCCAACGGAGCCGCGCGGACCGTAGCCCTAAACCAGTGCTTCTAGGAAAAAAGTCCAAATGAACCTAACTGCCCATCTAACCTTCTCTGAATGGTCATTTATTACTCCCTAACCGTATGGATATGAAGGAAACGCTTTCTTGTTAGGACCAACCACTATTCTGTAATCACTATGAAGTTCGATGATGGGAAATCCTTCCAGTAAGCTGAAAAAGCTATGCAGCCTTCAGGGAGTCTATTACTCGAGTAACCCCACTGCCTATTCCCACAACTTCCATGACTTTCCGCTTCT